CAGCATGGTTTTGTCAAGGGTAAATCAACTGATACTAATTTGTGTATATTTATTGATTTTCTGACAACTTCAATCGAATCGGGATCGCAAGTTGATGTAATATATACCGATTTTTCTAAGGCGTTTGATAAGGTTAATTATAATCATCTTTTAACTAACTTAAAAATGATGGGTGTTCATTCTCCCCTTCTTGATTGGTTCGATAGTTACCTGCGTGACAGATTACTAGTGGTAAGGGTTAATAACGCTTACTCATATGAATTTATGGCTACCTCAAGTGTACCGCAGCCCACAAAGCACAGACATTTTCTGCAAGTTTGCTGCAAGTTTTCCATGCAAATTTCGCAAGTTTGCATAAATATAAAAATGTCACCCACTTGGCACGTTTGCACTGCAAGTTTGCAGCAAACTTACGCCAAATAGCAAAAACTTAAATGTATGCGCAGTAGTTTACTATGACATCTAGAGCTGCGCACTATATTTTAGTCACCTTCTCTGCAGGGAAGGCATCTTTCATCAAAATATATGCAATTTGAAAAAAAAATTTTTTTTTTTAATTGTTAGGTATTTTAGAAAGTTTGCTGCAAATTTTCCTTAAGTTTTCATTGCAAACTTGCCAAGAGGGTGACATTTTTATTTGCATGCAAGTTTGCTGCAAACTTGGATGCAAACTTGCGAACTTTGCATGCGGAAAACTTGCAACAAAATTGCAGAAAAATACTGTGCTTTGTGGGAGGGTTCAAATCTTGGTCCGCTTTTATATTTAATTGATATTAATAACTTATTGTAGGTGTTTTTTTTATAAAAAAGTTTCACTTCAAGTCCATGAGAATCATAATTTATTTTTTGTTTTTCCTTGCTTACGTTTCGTTTAGCAAACACTAAACATCCTCAGAGCAACCATAAACTCATCCTCTCACAGAAGTCAATTTTAAGGTTAAATTTTGAGGTTAGACCTGTCAAAAATTACAAACATTCACCCCCATGCCTACATGTACGGCACGGCGGCAACCTTCTCAGATTTTCCTTATTACATTGATGTAGCTTACACTCAAATGTTTTACCTTAAAATTGACTTCTGTGAGAGGATGAGTTTATGGTTGCTCTGAGGATGTTTAGTGTTTGCTAAACGAAACGTAAGCAAGGAAAAACAAAAAATAAATTATGATTCTCATGGACTTGAAGTGAAACTTTTTTATAAAAAAAAAACACCTACAATAAGTTAAATTGATTCACAAGTCAAAACCAAATTAAGATCCAATTAATGATATTAATAACATCAAAAATATTTTTCAGATTTGTTTTTTTTACTTTTTGCGGATGACCTAAAACTATTCATGATTATAAATAGTATTATAGATGATTGTTTAAACTTGCAGGAGGATTTGAACCACCTTAATGATTAGTGCCAGCAAAATAATGTTTTTTTAAACACTTCTAAGTGTTCTTCTATGACTTTTTCTAAGAAAAAGGTTACATTAACTTGCGATTACACAATAAACAGTTTTTCCCTTTTAAGAGTATATAAGGTGCGAGATTTGGGAGTTACACTGTGTAGTGACCTTTCTTTTGACACACACATTACTAACATCGTCAGTAAGGCTATTAAATCTCTTGGTTTTATTAAGCGTAACGCGTTAAATTTAAAAAATATATAATATATTACATTATAAGGGCAGAAAGTTCGAATTCCGGCACTGTGCGAAATGATGCCCGAGACGAAGCCAAGGGCATCATCGCACTGTGAAGGGCTTCGAAATTTCTGCCCGTGTAATGTATACTATTTTTCTTTATATATACGGTCGAAAGTACGCCCGTTAATTTATTTTTTAAGAAAATTGCAATCGTGATTAATTTAACAGCCAGCCATCTTTATTTACTTTCGCTCCCCGCTTCAACGCCTCTAGCGGACGCTCGTGAAGCTCTGGTTTTTTCTCTGTCTCTCTCTTACATTCAACATACGCCTGCCCCGACATTTTCTGGTCGGGGGCCAGGCACGAAAAAAATGTGAAAGATAAATTTATTGATTTATTTATAATAATACACGGGCAACAAAATTAATTAATATTATATTCTCAAAAGAATTTTTTTGTTCGTACAAAATTAATTTTATATTTCGGAAATTCTAAACGTTCTAGTAAACAAAATGTCGTTATTTCTTTAAATTATTAAAATTTTATTATAATATTGTGGCACGTATAAAAAAATAAATTATAAAATTTTCTTGTTAATTTTTTTTCTCATTTTATATATTAAAATAAAAAAAAATTCGTTAAATTTTCTGGAACTCACAATTTTCTTATTTACCGACAGTGGTATTTTTACCGACAAAGAATTCTTTTACTCCCGCTGTAATAGAGGGCATGTGTGTATATCAACTGTGACGTATGTGTATGATACGCTCCTCTCTCGATAGAGGCAGCACTAAAATTCGCGGTTTAATTCAAATTAATATAATAATATAATGAATACATTTAATTTATTGCGAATTCTACGTATAATTTAGAATATTGGCAAGCAACATGGGCAAATCGACAAAATACTTTCCCACAGTAAAATCTTAAGTGGAAAAAATCATAAACTCAAATACAATAGAGCATGCAGTGGAGGCGACGAAACTTAATCCTTCCCGTAATAAATATTTTAGGATTATTTGAGTATAACACTAAAAATAAGTACATGTTTTACTTATTTGTCACGTTTTTGAAATTCACATTTATGGTTTTATTGCTTCTTAAAGAAACTCGAGTAAATCGCGCATCTGGTTACCATGAAACCCCAAGACCCTTTTTTTTGCCTGAGCAATAAAAAGGGGATGCTTTTGTTTCGTCATCCCTGCTGCATGGACTAGTTAGAAAAAATCTGAAACACCTTCTTTTTCCGCCTTTTTGGGTTTTTCCTCTTTTTAACGAATTAGAGTAAAGGAGGCGTACTTTCGCCTTCCTTCCTGGCACTCGGGGATGGGGGCGGAGGCCCCCAGGATGGGACCGTAGGGTCTCGGAGGAAAACGAGAAGGCAGATACTGTTCGACTTCGGAATTGGAAGAACGTTAACTTTGAGATAATAATAATAAAGATAAATTTATAAGAACTTAGAAGTTTCATTTTAAACAAATCATCCTTAATTTTAACTTGCATTTTCATTTGATAAAATAGTAGATCAAATATTTCACCGCGGGAGTTGAGCTTCCTAGCTCTTTGTTGTGGAAAACGAACAGTCATCGTCCAGGATTCCGCTTTGAATTTAATTCTAAAAATTAAACTCTAAAGTATATTAAATTCACAATAGAAATTTGAATTTTAAGAGTTTTACCGCGCGAATCAGACTCGGCGCGTCACACAACCAAAGCGTAAATGTTTTTGACTTTCTGCTGCGAAGTCTAATGGAGAGTCCACAATAGGTGCAAAAGGCAAGAAGTGCAAGTGCGAACCAATGCTAAATGTATAGGAATCGCACTTGCACTTGGACTTGCTACCTGCATTTTGCACATATTGTGGACTCTCCATAAGAAGGAAGTACGTACTTTCGACCGAGGTATAAAGAAAAATTGTTTAAAAAGACTATTGGGGATTTAAAATTGCAATGCGACACATAGTGACCATAAAGTGAACTAAAAAAAATGGCTGCTGTGGGTGTACAAGGTTGCAAAAATTGTTAATATTTAAAGTATTCTAATGTTTAAGAAATATTTGTTAAGATTGTTGGTCATTATTTATCTTTTTATTGAAAAACTACTTAAAATTAAAAAAATACTTATAAAATTTGTACATCCATTTCGTCCATTTATGGTGTAAAACACTAGCGACACCGAGCCCGCGGTGGTAATTTTCATTGCCAATATTACGCATTTGTACTTCCTGACGTGTATTATTTTGGATTTTCAATTTCTTGTGCATAAAATGACAGAACAAAAATTCATTTAATATCTGGTATTTTTTCTCATTTTTCAATAACTGTCCAAATGGAGAAAAATCCTTTTAAAATTACGTTTCGCGTTCAAGTAGTTATTTTTAAAAATCGACCACTGTATGAAATTGCGCAACATCGTTAAATTGAATTCTTACAAAAAATTGCATTAACAAATTTATTATTCAAATAGTATATAATAATTCAAATGAAATTTTTTTAAAATTTATTTCTTTTTATTTAGATTAAATTATTAATTCGGTGTTACTTTTAATTTTTCTAAACTTTCTATAATCAAAAAATTAAATTAATATTAATAATATTTAATAATAATATTGTTAATATTGTAAAAAATCTATCTATTTTAAATTTTTAATGTTTCGCCTCTCCCGCTTTTTTTTACCATAACCTATGTAAGTGCCTCTAAGAAGCAACGTTGCCAAGTGTCGTGCTTAGTAACTTCTGATTGATAAAAAAAAAGTGTTTTTTTATACAAAATAATTAATTTTGAGTCTCACAGGTTATGACTGATCATTTTTTTGGACAATATTTAAACATCAGTTCTTTAGCTTTAACTGTAAAAAGTTACATCAATATCTCGCTGTCATTTTTCTCACAATTGAATTTTAAAGATCATGAAAGTGCATTTTCAAATAAGACACAATGTAAAATGTGAAAACATAAAATTGTTTATAACTTTTCTTATACATTGTGCAGACCTCTAAAAATTTAACTACATATTTTTTAAACCAACATCTACCATTATTCCAAGTTTCATCAAAAACTTGCTGTTAATTCTATTTCCGAGGGTACTTCCTTAAATGTTAAACTTTAAATAGTTCTAGAAGACACAATTTTTTATTATTTAACAAATTCTTTATGCAATAAATTCCTTATTTACTATTAAATACTGTGGATAAATTCTTTTGTGCATATTCGAAAGTTGAAAAATTGTATTTTTGGCCAAAATTCGACGATCCTGGCCCACTGTGCGGTAGTGTATATTTTATTATTCGACTCTAAGAAAATCAATTTGTCTCAATTTATATTATCATTGCATTATATATAAAAGGCATTAATTAAAAAAGACTAGATAAATTTTTGTGTGCGTTCATTTATTTAAGCAAAAATAAATACACAGCTGCATTAAAATAAATTCCAACTTTCACTATAGCTTTGTTTGACATTTATAAAATTAACATCATTTAGAGTATTTACATTTACCTTCATTTCTTCGTTAAAAATACAGCGTGATCATTACGAAAACACGCACTTAGAACTATATATATTTAAATACTTTTAGAAACTGAGAAAAAAAGGCTTCGAAAGGCGCATATTTGACGTTTTGTTTAATTAGGCGATTCGAAAATTTCAATTTTAATGCGATAAAAAAATGACAATCAGTGATCAATAATCAACCATTTGTCTGTAATTTGGTCGATTTGTTTCGAGAGGAGTGGATTACGAAGACGCATTTTTACTTCCAATTTACCACCCGTTGCTTTTCTTCCATCCATCAACTGAAAAAAACAATATATTTAAAAATGTATTCTTTTAATTCGATATTTTACTTTTTCATATTTTAAATGTTTCACTAGAAAAAAATCATTATAAATCTCAGAGCCTTTACATTTTAAACTTGTTACATCGTTAATTATATTTACAATTGAATTAATATTACTAGCGGAATTAAATACACTGCTCCAAAAACTATAAAAAAACTTGTTAATCATATACAACCAACATGGAAAGATAATAATTACCTCATTTCAAAAAGTTTCTTTCCCGACCTCATGTTATGTACAAAATCGTATACTTTTTTAAAAGTACAATATATGAATAAAAACTCAATGCTATGATTCATAATTTATATCAATTAATAAATGTGATTAATTTATATAAATGATCTTATGCAAGAATAAAAAAATTGAAATACAATTTTATAGGAAATTACTTTTCCATGTCAAAGAATAAAACATAAATTAGAGTCGACTAACACGACATGATAAAATTTGGTAAGAAATTTTCATTTCCCACATAATTATAGTTGCCTCTACAAACTTTAAAATCATTTCAAAAACTCAAAAAACTAAAAGATGTTAGTACTAAAATTTAATTACCGGAAAAGAATCGTGTAAAATGCACTGTGTTTCGAGAGGTTGTAATTTCACAGACACAGTTCCAAGTAAACTATCACGTTTGAAAAATCCCCTGAAATAAAAAATACATGATTTAATGCAAAAATTAATGTTTTAATGTTCTGAAGCATATTCTACTATACTACTAATGCAACTAAAACAAATTCTACAAGAGTAAATTATTTATAACTGTATGATTTAAGAGTGTAGTTTTATAAGCTCCTACAAGACTTTTTTTATTAGAACATTTAGATAAGTTTGAAAAGATCATTTAAATTTTTTATGTTCATGTGTCATTCCACCCCAATTGAAAAAATATGAATGTAATTAAATGTGTATTTGCAAGTGCAACTACATGCGTAATTATACGTTTAATTATAAATGAATTGACACCTTTGAATTAGAATCAGGATTTATACGTGTAAATACCCCAACAGCACCGAAACTTTCCTGATAATGTATTAATTATTTATTTGCAATGTATAGAATATTTAAATGCAAAGTTTAAGATTGTGTAATAATTTAAATATCCCGATTAAATAAATGTTTAGTGCGAAACTTTCCTGAACATATAAATTACATTTTCGGATAAATCGATTTAGGCGAAAATTATATTTACATGTTCAGGTAACTTTCATGTTAAACATTTATTTAATCGAAACATTTAAATTTACACACAATTTTCAATAAAATTTGCAATTAAATATTCCAAACATTGCAAGTAAATATTTAAAAAATTTACAGTGTTGTGGGGAAACTTTCAGAAAAATTATTGTTCTATCTGGTAGTATAATAACCAAAAAAAATATTATATTTTCCAAAATTTGACGATACTGGGGAGGAAAAATTTCAGAAATTTCACTTGAGACGCTATGCTATTTGAAGTTTCTTTGTAATAGAAAAAACTCAATTTTTGTTTTTAGTTTTTTGATGCTCTATCAATTGGTAAAGAAGTCACGCAGCAGCAATCACGTTACTGACGGTGATAACATGTAACGTTTCGAAACGCCGTAACACATTTTTTCAAAATTAATATTTTAAGGGTCAACCCTAGTTGTAGCGCGAAAAAATTGAACATTTTCATTAATTTTTTTAAGAAAAAGCCACCAACATTTTTAAGTAAAACAAATTATTCTCTAAAATTACACAAGTCAATCTAAATATTCCCATAAAATTTTTTTAAAAATATTAAAAAGTTTACTTCATGAAAAATATGGTTTGCGGTGACCACGATTTCAAGGAGCTGGTTCGTCAGAACCACAAAATTCAAACGAATTTAGTTAAAGTAGAATCTAGTCCTTAATCGAAGGATTTAAAAAAAATTCATTTTTGACAAAATCGCAACCGCTCAAACTCAACGTTTCGATTTTCACTAAAAAACTATGGTTTTTCAGCTATAAAAGAGAGATTTTTGCATTCAAAAATCCTCCAATTAATGACTAAATTTTTACGTATTAAAGCCTACCAATTTCGAGCAAAATCGGTGCAGTAGTTTTTTAATTTTTAAATCTGTTCTGCTCATAGGAAAAAAAAATCCATTTGTACTTATTTATTTTTAAAAAATGCCGTTTTTCTAGAAAATTAAAAAATAAAATTCACCAATAAAAAGAGCATTAAAAAATTTTACAGGAATATATTTCACAATTTTTTTCTTTTATTGCATGTATAGAGAGAAAAAATTAAAAATGTAGATCGTGTCAAACGAAATTAATAAAATTGCTCCCCCTCTATCCCGCAAATTTTTCAAAAAAGTTAAAAATTTTTGTAGTTTATGTTACCATTAGATAGAACATTGAATTCCCCCAGTGTAAATTTTCTTCAAAAAGTTAAGTTTTCAGCATAGGACATTACACGTAAAATGCCTCATATGTACAATAAATAAACAAAAAATAAATTTTTTGGAAAAAAGTCATTTATGAGAAACTAGATAATGCAGATTAGAAAATGATAGGCGAAAGAAATTGAAAAACTACTTTTCCCAGTTGTCTAGAATAAATGGATCCATTCACCAAGTAGCTACACCGGAAGTCAAGCATGCGTTTACGAAATTTTCATACCTTGGGTGAGTGCAACACAGGATTGGGTTCAGCGAGCATCTGCAAGCAATAACCTATTCTATGAACTATATGATAACCTGACAAATAAGCAGGAATCCATTTCACACCGAAAATAACAATGAATTAAACAAAAAAGTTAATGAAAACAAATTACCATTAAAAATCAACCAAAGTTATTACCAGTGCGATTCTTGGCAAAAAGAAGAGACTGAACATTAGAATGTCCTAAAAACATTCTTGAAACACAATAATGGATAAGGATCTTTACAATTCTTAAAAAACAAATTCTTTTATACAAAACATATATGTGACCTGGTCTAGGTGTCAAAAAATCAGTGGGAAAAAGTTGATTGTCGTGGAAAATTCAGTCTAGAGGTTACGAATATTATTTGTTTTTAATAAATTTTTTTTAAATGAAAGTTTATAAAATTGAGCACCGATCAGATCAAATCTGATATCTTAACTTAAAAAAATTTGAATGCTACGCATTTGTTAACTAATATTTTGTAGATTTTTTTCTCTTTTGTTCATATATATTGTTAAATAAAAAAATTTGTTAACAGTTTTCAAAATTCTACCGCCACAGATCGGTGCGCAATTTTATAATCTCTCATTTAAAAAAAAATTTATTAAAAACAAATAATATTCGTAACCTCTAGACTGAATTTTCCACGACAATAAACTTTTTCCCATTGTGGAGTTGGCGCGCGTTTTTAATAAAAAATTCGTTTTGTACATTCCAAATTGAAAATACCAAAATTGTTTTTTGGGGCTTCAAGAAGAGACTACTGAGTACACTTCCTATGAGTTTCATTGCAATTGGAGCGGTAGAACACATAAATAATTCAAATTGTTTATAAAATTGTTATTGAAAATATGGAATTTTTAAATTTACAATCTTGCAAATATTTTCTTTTAAAAGAGTGGACATTTTTGTGTAATCAGTGTAAGTTTCATTAATTTATTGTCAACGGCTTTTGAGTTATTAATTTTTAAAAAAAAATTTGTAATATTTTGTTAATGCAAAAAAAATAACAAAAATTTTAAATTTCAAAAAACAGTTGTGCGATTCCATGGGAGATTTTAGTTTTTTCGGAGTAAGTAAACCAATTGCAATGAAATTTTGGAATTTAAATCTACACATAAAAAGACATATTTCCACCAAATATTACGTCAAAATATTCAGTAGTTTTTGAGATGTCAAAATTTTGGAAAAATTTTGAAATCGTTATATCTTCTTTCCATCTTAACCAAATCACTTAATTTTTTTTGGAGAAAATTCAGCATAAAAAAACGAAAAAGTTTTTTATATTATGTTTATACAAAATTTTTGTAAACAAAAAATTTATTAAATAATAATTGAATAACTTTTGAATAGCTTCACGGAATTGAATGAAATAAACACTAAAATAATCTTACTTTTGATTTCTTTAAGATTCCGAAAAAAATACCTGGCAACGAGATTGTCTTCATATAATATTTTTAATATTTTTGTTCACTTATGAGCGTAAACATTAGAAGTTTCTGCTACTTTACGTGCAAATTCAGGTGCGCGCGCAGACCTCTCTTTCTAATCATCTCCGAATTTCCGGTTTCAGAGAGAGAGGTCTGCGCGCGCACCTGAATTTGCACGTAAAGTAGCAGAAACTTCTAATGTTTACGCTCATAAGTGAACAAAAATATTAAAAATATTATATGAAGACAATCTCGTTGCCAGGTATTTTTTTCGGAATCTTAAAGAAATCAAAAGTAAGATTATTTTAGTGTTTATTTCATTCAATTCCGTGAAGCTATTCAAAAGTTATTCAATTATTATTTAATAAATTTTTTGTTTACAAAAATTTTGTATAAACATAATATAAAAAACTTTTTCGTTTTTTTATGCTGAATTTTCTCCAAAAAAAATTAAGTGATTTGGTTAAGATGGAAAGAAGATATAACGATTTCAAAATTTTTCCAAAATTTTGACATCTCAAAAACTACTGAATATTTTGACGTAATATTTGGTGGAAATATGTCTTTTTATGTGTAGATTTAAATTCCAAAATTTCATTGCAATTGGTTTACTTACTCCGAAAAAACTAAAATCTCCCATGGAATCGCACAGTTAAAAGTGTTTTTTTGTTTTGTTGTGAACTATAGATTTTTATAAAAGTTTTAACATTTTAGAAAATTAATTAAATTTTTTTAACATAGTTGAGCTGGTCTGACCCTGTTATATTCAATAATAATTGCAGCAACCTCCTCAGTTTTTCGTTAGAAGTTATTTTGTTAATTAGATACTCAGTGATTTGTGAGATCTTTTTTTACGAATCCAGTGTCAGAGTTTTAAAATTTGAAATGGCGGATCCATTATAGTGGACGAAATTTAAAATTTATCGTATTCGCAAGAACTTTTTCATTCAGCGGGTTTTGAATTTTGAAAATCTGATATCGAATTCGTAATCCAACCCAATAAACCACCAACTAATAATTTTTAAGCGAATCCGTCCGCCATATTGGATACGCCATTTTGAATTTTTAAAATCCAACACCGAATTCGTAATCATCGCTTGCAAAAAACCCCAGAGTAACAAATTAACAAAGTAACAACAAACGGGAAACCCCTTTTCCTAGAGCAGGTCACATATAATGTTTTATATATTTTCATGAAAAATGGATAATTTTTCATTTTCTCAGAATTATAAAAACCGAAAACCAATCTCAAAACTCTTTTCTTTAACGCATTTCAGTAAACAAATAATCTAGTATCGCAAGAGAAAACTTAAAAGTAAGACAAAAGTAGTTAATAAAACCCTTCATATGTAATAATAACAAGCAAATATAGTGAAAATTACCCTTTAGACCAAATTTGGCATTTCAATGAATGCCTTTTGAAAGTTCTTTGGCATTGACGAGAACTACGGTCAATAATTCCGTTTAATGGAAAAACAGCATTATATTCTGGATTAGTACTGTCTCGAACTGTCGAAGTTGAATCCGTCGTGTGATTATCAGCAGGATAAGGAAATTCAAATATCACATAAGTGTCAGCTTCTTTTGAAAAATTCACTCCTCGAATTATTGATAATTCCAAATCTCCGTCACTTAAATCTGTACAACATCTATAAATCAATTTATGGATGAAAATTTATTATTAAATTCATTGCCAATTTTTTAAAAATGTGTAATTTAAAAAGTTGAAAATTAAATTTTTAAGAGCACTGAGAAAAAAGAGGGCGCGTTGCAGCACATTTTCGATTCATGTTGCGCGACTCAACCCTGTGTTCTGCTAGACACTTTTCTGGGGCGTGCAGCGGACTCCTGAGTCGAGGCGAGCTGTATTTGAAGCGTATTACACGCTCTTTGGGGCGTGCTGCACGCCCCAGAAAGTGTGTAGAAGAATTCAGGGTTGAGTCGCACAACATGAATCGAAAATGTGCTGTAACGCGCCCTCTTTTTTCTCAGTGAGAGAATAAAAACGAATACGTACTGAACAATAGCATATGTTTTGACCACGTAATGATGTTGAGGAGGAGGTGAACTGCTTCGTTTACGCACTCGGAGCATGTCTAAATCTCGAGTATAACCCAAAGCCAGCCTCTCCCATCTATTGTAACCAGGAACATCGCCTAGACCCTTACAATGATCCCTTGTTGACAAACACCACTAAAATAAAATTATTGGATTTTATTTAAGTAACAAATATTTTAATTATTACAGGATTCACTTTCGTCTAAAGAGTGTAACAGTCATATTTCTTAACTTATGCACTTAAAAATTAGATTTTTTTAAAACATTGTGTTTTTGGTTCGCTACTTATAAATCCGGTGTCAGATTTTAAACAATCAAAATGATTGAACCAATAGGGCGGACATATTTTATATAAATTCAAAGGATTGACTTAAATTAAAACTCTTAATGTGCATTTAAGTCCCAGTTGCGTAAGACAAAAAAAAGTAAATTTTGAAAATAATGTGGGCAAATATTCCAAGAATGTGTTATTATAAAGTTTCAAGATATTTATTGAATTTTTCATTTAGAAGTGATTTCTAATGTATTTTTGTCCTTTTAATATGATCTCGGATACCAAAATTGCCTATCACCAGGGATGGGTGCGTATAATACATGATGTATAATACGTGGTTTTATACATGTATAATACTACGTATATTACGTCCTAGGTTTTCTACATTATGTATATTACATGTGATGACGTAACTTGGTAACTGAAAGGTGGTGTTTTAAAATTTCTTAGTTTACAATAATTAATAAAACAATAAGTTGTTAATTTTTAAATTAACAAAATTTTTATTGTTTTGTTAATAGTAAAATAAAATGTTTATTAATCTTTACATATTTAATTTCTTTTATTTAGAAATTTGATCATAACCGTCACAGTAATATATGTATATATAAGCATACAACATAACCTATATTTACTAGTGTCATAGTACGTGTAACATGTGCAAAACTTTTTTTATCAATTAAAATTTTGTTTTAAATTTAAATATAGGAATTATAGGAATAATAGGAATATGAATAATAAATAACAAACATTTGAGGTTATGGTAAAGAGGGTAAACAAGTCAAAATAAGTCTGCTATCATGATTATGTATTTTACCTAGTTTTATACAGTTTTATACGTATAATACGTCGAAAATGTATTATACGTATAAAACCTCGAGTGACACGTCAAAACCCATCCCTGCTTGTGTTTGTCTTGCATAACCAAGAAATTTCAGAGAAATTCAAACCTAGTAAAATTATAATTTAAAAAAAAAGAAAACACTTTTCACAATATCTATTTCTTAATCACAATATTTTGGAATAAACAATTTAATAAAATTTCAATTTATTTAGAAATAATGAAAACATTTTTTTATAGTTTTATTTTTTAATCACAATTTAATTAACCCGTTGACTGTCGCTGACGCATATATGCGCAAAACAAAACTGGCCAAAAGTGGTTCATGACGCATATATGCGCAACTTAAAAAAGGTGATTAAAAACTTCTTAAATGTTACTGAAACCGGTTACTCGGGGGTTTTCGAGGTCGCTTATTACGAATATGACATTCGTTTTCCAAAATTCAAAATGGCGGATCCAATATGGCGAACAACAAAATAAAAAATTGATCAGATTGACTTGAAACGTAGTACTCGGGGGTTTTTAGGGTCGCTGATTACAAATCTGTCATTATTTTTTCAGGGTATTTATCGAAATTTGATTTCACCAAAAATTATCATACTGATATCAGATTAACCAGTTTCAAACAAATTCAATAAATTTTAAAAAATTTTCCGCCATATTGAACCAGATATTTTGAATTTTGAAAAACTGATTTCAGATTCGTAATCAGCGACCCTGAAAATCCCCAAGTATTCAGTTTCAAGCCAATCTGATCAATTTTTTATTTCGTTGTCCGCCATATTGGATCCGCCATTTTGAATTCTGGAAAACTAATGTTAGATTCGTAATCAGCGACTCTTAAAACCCCCGAGTAACAAGTTTCAAGCAAATTCGACGAATTTTGAAAAATTTCCGCAATCTTGGATCCGCTATTTTGAATTTTGAAAAACTGATGTCAGATTCGCAATCAGCGACCCCAGAAACCTTAAGGTACCAAGTTTCATAAAAATCCATTAAAAATTTTTTCAACACACTTTTGGCCCAAACAGTGTAAATCTCGTTGACAGCCAAGGGGTTAAGAAGTAGAAATTTATGAGAATCATTTCCTTTTTTACAAAAAAACAAAATTTTGTCCAAAATTATGATTAAATGCTGACAATTATTATTCACTAATTTCCATTCCACAAGGAAAATTTGTTGAAAAATTTTTAGTTTTTTTAAGAAAGAAATGAAAACATCTCAGGGTATTGCCACGCTTTTACTCATTTGATATTCCCTGACTTTTCCAGGTTTTCCACGTTAAAAAACGGAATTTTTCTAGGTTTTTAAAACTATATTTATTTTTTACCTAATTAAATAACTAATAAATTTTTATAAATACACGGAACTTTGATATTATACTGTATTCTTCTGCATTATTATAATATTTATTTATTACTCAATCAGAGTTGCCATGAAAATTAAGTTTTCTTTTTCCCTACTGACTCTAATGAATATTCCGATTCACTCTAAAAGTAATTAGATAGTTAAAGAATGTTCTAATTACATTTATTTACAAATTTTTTTAATTGTAAAATTATTCGAAAACATCAATAACTTCTTTTTTAAATAAATATATTATCGAGGAGGTATTTACTTGTGTATTAGCGTGTACGCTCCTCACGTAATAGTCATGTAATAGTCACGTAATAGAGTGTAATAGAGCATTATTACGTCAGTGTAATACCACCACTGAGAGAAATGGATAGTCAGATTTTGATGTTAAAAAGATGATGTTACACGATACTATCATTATGCTACTGCCAACCATCACAGATGCTAAAAAAATATAGTTATGCTACCCCGTACTACCAAGATGTTACTCCTGATGATATTAATGGTAACGGTGACTATCTAGATAGCTGTCTGTATACGTAGCATTAAAGATGGTAACCCTAACCACAATTATGTTACCCACTACTATAAATTTCTCTCCGTGACATAATATAGAGGTAATATTCTGTAGTAGTCAATAATACCCTGTAATAGTTCTGTAATACCCTATAATATTAGATAATACGCGTAATAGCAGGAAAATTTAGTGTATTAGAGTGTACACCATTTTAATCAGTAATTACCCCCTCGTATATTATAATCATTATTATTTTTCCAACGGAATTAGAATTTTCAAAATATTCAAATTTAAATCTTTATAAAACATGAAGAAATAGAGCACTCCTAGTCGAAGACTCGGAGTGATCGATTTCTGCATGTGTTATAATAATTAAAGATAACAGAATCATTATTTTAAATTATAAGAAAATTATTACTGCAACTTCTTCTTCAAAATTATTTCCACCATTTCAATTCAATTATTATTTTCTAGAATTTCCAACCAAAATTCTTCTTTAATTCTTTAAATTTTCGAAAAAGTTCTTTGAGAATTTTCAAATCCATTTGTTTACAATTCAATTTTACGAAATTTCGATTATTAGGAAACTCTTCAATTAAATATATATATTAGAAAATAAGAACTTCAAATAGTTTCAAAAAAATTCAATTAAACTTTTTCAAAAAAATTAGTTCTATAAAATGAATAATTAAAATTATGAAACCTTTTCAAAATTCAATTATTTTCAAAAATTCACATTATAATGCTTTTAAAATTTAATTATTATCTAAAATTTTAACTGAAATTAATTTTTAAATAAACTTTGAATCCAAAATTCTACGCGAATTCAATTATTTAAATACGAAAATAAATAATTTATTGAATAATTGAATGTTTCTCAAAAAATTGAATTTTAATGAAGAATTTTATTAAAAAATTTTTTAAATATTAAATTCTTTTGACGAATTTTAATATAATGCTTAAGAATAATTTAATTTTTCTAGAAATTTGATTAAAATTGTATGTTTTAAAAATAATTGAATACTGTAAAAAATTTGATTTTTCTTAAGTACCTACTTGAATTATTCTAAAGAAATTTTTATTATTTATGAAATAAATTATATTTTTGCGTAAAATTTTATTAAATTATTTTTTAAATAATTGAATTGTTTTATAAAACTTTACTAACATAGTAGATATTGAAAATCATTGATTTGAGGAAAATTTTTGATAATAATTGGAATTTTGCCAAGAATTTTATTGAAATTTTTGAAAATAATTGAATTTATGAAAAGAATTTTATTACTTATAAAGACAATTAAAATTTTGCCGAGAATTTTTAAAAACTTTTGAACATAATTGAATTTTTGCGAAGAATTTTATTACTTTCGAAAATAATTGAATTTCTGCAAATATTTGTACCTTCTCCAAAACTCATTTTTTAGTGTTTTTAACTAAAATTCTTATATAAATCCATTATTTCTAATAACTAATTCAATATATATTAAGAACTTTAACTAATTTCAGAAGAATTTGAATTATTAAACTTTTTCAAAAATTTAAGTTCTTTAAAGTTAAAAATTAAAACTTTGCAGTTTATCTATTTATGAAAATTGTAAACGCTACTCTTTCAAAATTTAATTAATTTTGAAATATTTAAGTAAAATTATACATTCAATAATTTATAAGTCATTATTTTATGCTAGTTGTTGAAGAATTAAGTTATTTGAAAAGATATTAATGTCAGAAGTAGAAATAATTGAAGGTTTTGTATTATTAGAATTTGTGGTGATTTCATAGTTTATAGCCACAAAAATTCAGAATTTTCTTATGAATTCGAGAAATTGATTATTTTTCCAATAAAAAAACCCAATAACTTTAGAAAACAACAATTCTTCAGGATTCTGATAAAAATTCCGACTTTTCCAGGTTTTTTGAAGGTTTATAAAATTCTCTGACATTTCCAGGTTTCCAGGTTGTATGGCAACCCTGCATCTTTCTAAATTTTAATGTATCGATTGCAATGTTTGTAATAAAATAATTGTAGTTTATAAAAAGAAACAAACATTACATAATTTAGCTTTGATATTGGACTAAAGTGTGCGAAAGGGGTTGGCCCTGTTTAGTAATAATAAAATAAATAAAAAATAATTTCTCTTTCTTAATGATTAAAAAATTTTTTAAAACGGTTTAAACAAATTTTTCTCTATATATAGATTTTAGAATCCTGTTATAATATAATAAATAAACAACAGTATCACTGATAACTGTAATTACTAATATATCTTTAACAAAGAATTTTTAAAAATGTCACCTTAATTTGTTTCAGCAATTGTGCCTCTAGATTTTCGTATATTTGATCATCAGTACCCGTGGCTTCTTCTAGACAATCTTGTTTCGATATAAGATCAAACGAATCATCATCTTTTGCTTCCAGACCACTGGCAGTCAACTGCATTTTAGCATCAGGCGACAAGGGAATAGAATTCATATCTACTGGAAGACCAGATTGACTAGCTTCAATTAACGGATCCAATCCTTTGGCTTGTCGCAAATAGTCCCTTGCAAGTTCCAAGTCTCCCTCTTTTTTTGCTTTAAGTGCTGCCATTTTGAATTCCTGTTGTCGCTGTTGTAACATCAACATCTGCTTATCGGCACGGGATGTTATAATTTTCTGTTTTTTCTCTAAATTGAAAAATATTCGGAATATTTTATTTATTCACAATTTTTTTAAGTTACTTATCGAATGCTGATTAATTAATTTCCTTATATATTCTGATAATATGCTTTTAACATTTCAAAATGAAGTACCTGCATTTGCTCTCGGTGGAACTTGAGGCCTTTTTGGCTCCTTTGGGGATTGTTTTTCAGGTACCGGATCCGATGGTGGATTGGCAACTGCTTCCGGCGGAGATGGTTGGCTCACCGTGAGAGGCGGAAAACCCGGGGGCGTTGGAAGTTCTTCGAGAGACATTGGCTTTCCACGTGCGTACAATTTGATAGCGTCTTCAAATTGTTTACAAATTCGACCGTATCTTCGAGCCTTTGATGTATTTCCTTCACCCTCAGCGGCGACTTTCGTTCGTCGATAAACTTCCAAGCGCTCCTTTAATGAGGATTCTAACGCCGAACCGGTCAACGGTTCTTGCGAATTCGCTAACCAAGAAAATTTTTAAATTATCTCATAATATCGAATTAAGAGAAACACAAAATTATAGCCTGTAAAAAGATAAAACCTTACGTGGCGATTCTTCAACAGATGGAGCTTGTTGCGCTTCACTTTCTTCTTTCTCTGATGTTGCCGGCTCTGGTGCTGTTGTTTCTGGCAATGTAGGAGTGCCGGGCATGTCGGACAAATCCACAGCGTTTCCTGTTGTAAGTTCCGCTATAACTAAATCAAATTGTTTTATAAGTTTCACGTACTGAATGGCTTGCTCCGCATTGCCTGCCCTTTTCCACGCGACAGCCGCAACTCTATATTCTTGTTGACGATTCTTTAACAAGCTTAGAGTCTCCTGATCAACTTCAACATTCGAAGTACTTGCAACTGGTTCGACAGGATCTTCAGATTTTGGACTTTCATCCACCGGAACTGCAGGTGCCGTTTCCGATTCTTCTGGTTCTATGATTAGAAAAATTATCATTTTTCAATTATGCAAATTTTACTAATTAGGATTTAATTACCAGGTGGCTTTTCAGTTGCAGATGAAATAGCTGAAGATGGAAGAACTGGAGGAATATCGTCAGTAATAATTTGCTTGCCAGAATTCGACCTTGACAACATATCTTTTAATGTTTTAATGCCTCTTCCAAATCTCCTAGCTTTCGATGTATTGTTTTCGTTTGTTGCTTTCTCTTCGGCAGTTTTATACATTGACAATCTTTCCTCTAATAATTTGACAATTTCTTCTGAAACGGGTTCACTGACTTTTTCTTCTGAAGGCTCCTCTGAGTCTGTTGGATCTGACAATTCGGGCGACATCTCTTCACCCGTAATCATATGAAGTTCTTCCTGTAAATATTGAAAACATATAAACGAATTTTCTAATAAGAATGGATTGACGGGAAATTGGAATATTTTTAAAAACTTTTCTTACCAATAAATTTGGATCGTTCTCGTCACCGGATAATTCTTCATCTGGATCTATGTCTTTTAAACTTTCATTAACCATTGCATTCAATTCTGAGTCAGGAATACGTTTAGCAGCTGAAAAATAAGTATTATAAAATATTTTTACATTTAGTCAAATTTAAAAGATGAAAGTAACTAATACAAAATTAACACAAAGCCAGTAGACTTTCTGTTAATTTTTTGATAGTCATTTTCTTATGAATAAAATAAGACTTTCGTCAAACTGTGCAGTCTTTTAAGCATTAGCCCAACTTAAAATCTTAGTCATATTGGATTAAAAAATATAAAAATCACTTCATAAATATTGGGACTACAAGATGGTACTATTTTGGGAATTAAATTTTTAAATGGCTGCTACCTCCGAGTGACCAATTTCAAGAGAATTTGATTGATTTTTAAAAATCCGTCCGTCAGAATAGATCTGCTATTTACAATATTTTAATTCTAAAGTTATATCCGTTATCAGTGACCTTAAAAACAGCTAAATAACCAATTTCAAGAGAATCCAAATATTTTAAGAATCCACAAATTTTTGTCCGTCATATTGGACCCGACATTTTGAATTTTTAAAAATTAAGGTCATATTTTCCTTTCTCCTTTCTAAAAAAAAACAGTTCGAGAAAGTCGAAGAATGAAACTCGTAAAACTCGAACTCGAACTCGAAAATCTCGAATTGGAGAACACGAAGATGACATTTTTATATAATTTTCAGAAAGAAAAGAAAAAAGAATTTATTATTTTTTAAAGGAAAAGTACAAATAATTTAATTTTTAAATAAATTATAGCATTTTTCTTAATATATTTTATTGTATTTCCTCTTTTCTAAACAAATTGAATCGAACTCGAATTGGAGGACGAAACTAATGACAACAGCTGACTCACTCTTGATTGGTCAAGATAGAAAGATGGCCGCTGTTTGTTTTCTTTTGGATCTTATACTTTATGATAGGGAAAATTAAATGGAAAGAACTAATTTAACGTAGGGAACTATTTATTTTAACTTGTCAGGAACGAGGCTTTACAAATATTGTCAGCAAGGAAATTAGAAGAAGCGAAAGGCGTCTATTTTAGGCGACATCTATATCTTGACTGGCGCCAAGTAAACAATAATTTAAAAATGAAATGTCATAAGTGTCTTTGTTGATTCTCCAACACTCCGCCTCAATTAAAACACTGATTTAAAAAAAACGAAAAAGTCCCTTTAATTTACAAAATTTTAAGTCCCAATTCACTAGCACATTTTTCGTGTTTCACTGCTGGAAGAGCTTTGGTCAGGACGTCCGCCGTCATCTCCTCGGTGGGAAGGTACACCAACTCTATGGGGTACTCCTGGATTGCGTTCCTGATGAAATGGTAGCGGATCTCAATGTGTTTCGACTTCGAGTGAAAAACGGGATTGAGGGCGAGTTTTCCGGCTGATTGATTGTCGTTAAATAAAATAATTCTCGACAAGTTCTTCAGATTTAACTCCTTTAATAGTGTGATGAGGTAAACTGCCTCCTTTGCAGCTTCGCTGAGACTCATATACTTCGCCTAAGTCGACGACAGTGCTACGGTCTTCTGTTTTCGGGAACACCAGGACACTGCTCCGCCGGAAACGATGAAGCTATAGCCGGTGTATGATGTTCGATCGATTGGACAATTTCCCCAATCTGCATCGGCATATCCGGTTACCTGTTGATCATTCCGTGAGTAGACGAGCTTCATATCAGCTGTGCCTTTGAGGTAGCGCAATATTCGTTTGGCTGCCTCCCAGAGACGTCGTCCATGGTCGTTGTTGAATTGGCTGAGTAGATTCACCGCGTGGGCGATGTCGGGACGAGTCCCGATTGCTACGTAATGAGAGAGCTCCGATCAATTCCCTGAATGGAAACGATGTTATCCTCTCCGATGCTGATGGTTTTTCCAGCTTGTTTCCGCAGACGAGAGGAGACTTCACCGGTTTGCACTCAGACATGTTGAATCTGAATAAAATTTCATTAATATATCCGGTTTGACATAATGTTATCTTGTTTAGTGTTTGTTCGATTTCAATTCCCAGACAGTAGTTGGCGGCTCCTAGATCTCTGATGTCCAAATGAGATGAGAGTCCCTTTTTGATGTCGTTCACCTTTTTTCGATTTTCCGAGATGATTAGGATGTCGTCAACATACACAAGTAGGTATGTCGGAGTTTCTTTGATTTTGTCGATGTAAAGGCACGGATCAGAATTTGTTGGATTTAGACCTATGGATTTTAATATCTCGTCCAACTTTGCGTGCCATCTGCGACCTGATTGCCGCAACCCGTAAATTGACTTTTGGAGTTTGCAGACCTTGTTTCCAGTTTTTAATGCTTCGAGCATTCTCCTTGTTTTTCGAAGAATGACTACGTCCTTTTCAGTTTTCACTATTTCTTCAAGAGATTCCTCTAACAATTCTGGAACTTTCATGAAAAGAAGGGTGTCGATTTCTCCGTTGAGGTAGGCCGCTGTTATATCTAATTGATAAATTTTTAGATTTGATTTTGCTGCGAGAGCTGCCAGCAAGCGGAGAGTTTCGAGCCTTGCTACCGGGGCGAAAGTGTCGACGAAGTCAATACCGGGTCTCTGGGAGAATCCTTGGGCAACTACCCTCGCCTTTCTCCTATTGACTGTACCATCCGGGTTGAACTTGTTTCGGAGCACTGTTCTGCAGCCGATGATCCGTTGATTAACTGGTTTGTCTACGAGTTCCCAGGTGTCATTGCTTATCAGGCACCTGGTTTCCTGATGAATAGCCGTCATCCATTCGTTGCGTTCGTTTCCAGTGATTGCGTCCTTTAGAGGCACTTCCGATACATTGAGGGCAAAATTGATGTTGAGAGATCGTTGGTTGAATGTTCGTGATTCATTTGTCTCTCGAATCCGAGGAATGGTGATCTGGTGCCTGAAGACAGCTCGTGATCACCTTCTTGTCGAAAACCGAGGAATGGAGATCCGCTGCTTATCGAGTTGTTTCGTTCTTCCACTGCGGGTGGATGTTGCTCATCGACTCTGGCTGTTGAACTTCGACTGACTAGTTCAAATTCGACGATTTTGGGAGCATCGATTGGAGCGTTGACTATTTTTGATGATTCTATGAGGTCCTCTTCCTTCAAAAGTGGAGAATGATTACTTTTCGGCTCAAAAGATTCGAGAAATTTTACGTCTCTGGATGAAACGACTTTTCTTTGCTCTGGTATCCAAATGCGATACGCTTTAGATTGATCTGCGTAGCCCACGAAGGTTCCTTTTATTCCCCTTGGATCAAACTTGCCTTTGGTGGGAGTTTTGTCCAGGATGAAGACGTTTTCCCCGAAGGTTCGCAGGTGAGAGATGTCGGGCTTTTCCCCAGTCTATTTTTGATATGGAGTTCCTTTCTCGATTCCCTTGGTGATGCAGCGATTCCGGACGTGGTTTGCGGCGGCCACGGCTTCGGCCCAGAAGGTGAGTGGTTTTCCCGATTGTGACAGCATGCAGCGAGCGGCTTCGACGAGCGTCCTGTTTTTCCGCTCTGCAACGCCGTTTTGTTGCGGCGTGTGCGGCACGGTTAGGCGATGGTGAATTCCGAATTTTTTTAGCACGACACTCAAACTTTTGTTCACATATTCACGGCCGTTGACCGATTGAACGGCTTTTATTTTGTGTCCCGTTTGATTTTCCGACATGTTTTTAAACTCGAGGAATTTTTCAATCACTTCGTCCTTTTTACGAAGAAAATAAACTTGGCACCACTTACTGAAGTCATCGATGAATGTGACGAAGTAGAATTTCCCTCCGAGAGACTCGTTTCTCATCGGCCCGCACAGGTCGGTGTGGATTAATTCCAGTGGCGCTTTCGATACACTTTTTCTTCTAGGAAAAGGGGTACTCGTGAATTTTCCCGACGCGCAAGTTTCGCACTTACTTAAATCGGTTGACACGTCGAAATTAAAGCCGGTCACGTGTTCATTTTTGAGCATGTCGATCATGTCCTTTTTGTTTAAATGGCCGAGACGGTCGTGCCAAATTTCGGTATCACTTTTGGTATTTACCACTGCACTCACTATATTTGATTCACTCGGGTTTTTACAAAGATAAAATAAATTGCCAATTCGGTTTGCCGTCAGTTTAACTACTCCTTTCGCGTCTAAGATCGTACAACAGTTTTTCTTGAAATTCACTTCATAATCGTTATCGACGATTTTCGAAACGGAGATCAAATTTAATCTTAAATCGGGAGCGTATAGAGTATCTTTTAAGTTAACTGAATTCTCCGAATTATTTATATCGAACTTCACGTTTCCCTTCGCGATTACCGGCGTCGTGGCACTGCTCGCGAGTTTGACACTTGATTCTGTTTTGACGATGTCGGTGAAAACACTTTTGTCGTGTGACAGGTGAGAGCTGCATCCACTGTCAATACACCATAGGTCACTCGCGTTTTTCGACGTTTTTTCAGAAAGGAAGCATAGGGACGTTTCTGCTACACTCGCGGATTTATTTTCGTATTTTCGTTTACAAAAGCACTCACTTTCTCTGTGTCCTTTTCGATCACAGAAATTACACTTGCCGTTGAATTTTTGTTGTTTTTTCGAATTCCGCGTTCCTCCGTTTTGATTTCCGACTGTTCGTGTTCCGTCGTTTCGAGTTCCGTCGTTTCGCGTTTCGTTTTTCGCTTTGTTGAATGAGTTTCGATTTCGGTTTACGAACATAGCGGAATCGTCTTTATCTTCTTTTCGCTGTCTCGCATTATATTCCTCTATTATTTTAATTTTTAAACTTTCCGGATCCGGCAGCTTGTCGCGGGATTCAATTGCGCAGCGAAAATTTTCGAAGCTGCTCGGAAGGCTGTAGAGTAGTATAATAGCGAGAAAGTCTCCGTTAATCTCGATTTCCATGGCTTGAAGTTTGTCGACTACGTCGAAAAATTCTCCGAGGTGTTGCTTCGCGTCGTCCCCTTCCGCCATTTTATGTTGAATGAGTCGTTTAAGGAGGGTGGCTTTTCTAGCCGGTCCTTTCGATGCGTAGATTCTCTCGAGTTTGGTCCAGATCTCGTTGGATGTGACACATCCTTTGGTCTGTTTTAGTTCAGAAGGGCTTATGCAAAGTATAAGGTCTGATTTTGCCTTCCGGTCGGTTTTCAGCCATTCCTTGAGCGCGGCTTCGGCTGCCGGTCGCTCTGCCCCTTCTTCTGGAATTTCGGGTTGTGGTATATCTCCTGAGACATAGCTCCATGTGTCATTTTTAATGAAGAGAGCTTCAACCTGTGTCCTCCATGTATCATAGTTGTGTCTCGACAACATTTCGATTCGTATGGAGTTCGTGCTTCCGCCGTTCGCCATTTTCGACCGAAGTGAGGTTATACGAGAACACTCTTGATAACGGGTGGAAACGACACTCCCGAAATTACTTTCGTATTTATATCTAATTCAATAATTAGGATACGATTTTCGTGGGGCCTGGGCCCATAACCTGATAGGAAAAATTAAATGGAAAGAACTAATTTAACGTAGGGAACTATTTACTTTAACTTGTCAGGAACGAGGCTTTACAAATACTGTTAGCAAGGAAATTAGAAGAAGCGTAAGGCGTCTATTTTAGGCGACATCTATATCTTGACTGGCGCCAAGTAAACAATAATTTAAAAATGAAATGTCATAAGTGTCTTTGTTGATTTTCCAACACTTTATTTTCGGCAAATAATTGTTTTTCTTTATTATTTATTATATAAATAAAAGTATGTTAAATGTTTTTTATTTAGTATTTTTAGGCTGAGTGTACAATAGAAAAAAATCATGTGTTGAAGAATATGTTGTGTATATAGTATTTCTGATTATTTATTGCTAAAATGTCAGAATGAAAAGAAATAAGTTTCTCCTTAAAATTGAGAAAATTAAATTATTTATTAAATTAATAAGTTACTATCTTTAATTATCTGCAATTAATAATCAAACGGTTTTGAATAATCCTGTAATGTATATATGATTTTTATTTAAAACCTATTTTATTTTTTTTTTATTATAAAAAAATCACCTTAACTAATATATATTATGCGAATTATTTATGAATTAAATTTTTAAATTAAATCAAAAAATTAATTTAACCTTGAAGGCATTTGAATTATTATGCCGTCACAGCTTTAGGAAAAATGCCCTTAATCTCAATTTAAAACTTTCATAGAAAATTGACGTGTTAAATGGAAATAACGAAGCAACGTAGGCGGTTGAGAAAAGCCGCTATTTTTTGGTAAAATGTCATTGAAAAAGATTCATGTGCTTGAAAATTTTATTTTTATTGCATAAAAATTAAAGAAATTAAATTAATTTAAAGGGAAGAATATCGTAGAGAAGCAAAATTGCATGTTAAAATGTTTAAAGAAAAATTACGTGTTGAATGGAAAACGGAAGCAACGAAGTCGACCACGAAGCGGTCGACGGAGGCGCTAGTTATAGTAAGCGAATCAGGTTTACTATAAATTCTTCAAAATTGGCTAGTAAAAATACACCAATTACCATACATCTAATTGCTAGGGTCTAAAACTGAAAAATTTAAAGCTGGTGAACACTTTTTTCGAAATTTTTCATTTTTCTGAAAATACTACTATTCAATCAATTCTAATTATATTATTTTCAATGAAAAATATAAATATATATATTACATTGAAAAATACATGTCCGTACCAAGTTTGAACACAATCGGCTGAGTAGTTTTTATTCAAGAGAAAAACTGTAATTTTGCCAAAAAGCAAAACTACTAGGGTCCTGTACGGTACACTTTGTGTACAGAACCCTAAAAAGGAACTTTAGTCATCGCTATTTTGTGTCAACCATTTAAAAATTTAATTCCCAAAATTGTTCTATCTTGTGGCTCTAATACTTTTGACGTTACATTTATAACACTAAATTGTATTCTGAAGGGTTTAGATATGAAAATATTTCAAAAATAATAAAAAATCGTGTTTTTTTAAATGGTGTATAAATTGTATATTTAAAAATTAAATTGATATAATTAAAATTATAAACATAACTTAAAATTATTTGCTCCCTAGTAATAGGGGATGAATTAAAGTGGATTGGCATTTTTATGACCATAAATTCCAAACCAATTCCGTTTTTATCCGCAATCGTAATGAATTCCTTTTACTATTGTTAAGTTATTTACAACTTACAAGTGTAAATGAATTCTTAACAGGTTTTTAAATTATTTTTAAGATCATAGAAACAATATCATTGAAAATATCTGCTTTTAAGCATTAATGAATTTCATAAATTTTAAAGAAGTTTTAAGCAATGTAAAGACAAAAGTTGAAATTTATTGGTTAGAACTAAAACCTGTCGAAGAGGGGTAGAACAGCTACTTTATAGTATAAAAAATAAGTTTAAAATTATAAGAATAAAATTTATTATATTTTACTTTTACGTTGTCTACGTCCAGCGTCACTTCCGGTCGTCAAAGCAGCCAATTCTGCTTCCAAATCTTCGTCGTCGTCGTCGTCCATTCCTTGGTCTTTGCCAATATCTTCAATAGAAGCAGGTACTTCAAAAATTCCATACTAAAAAAAATTTCTTTTCTTTACAATATGTATACATTTCTTCCTTATTTATTACTATTACTGTTTCATAGAGGAAGTATTAAAGTTGTATTAATATCGTTTCTTGACAAGTCCTACCCATACTCATATGACAAAATCGACAATATCATTTTTTTCAGTGTAGATACGTGGAGATTTGAGATAATTTGACAGTGTCGAGAAATAGAAAAATTATTGTAAAAGAATTTAATTCAGACGGTGTGAATTGATATTCATCGATGTTAAAGTCGATCATAAGAAAATTCTTTCCTTTACAAATATTTGGCCCTAGGCAGCGCCGGATCAAGGCTTTGGCGGGCCTGAAGCACATACAAATTTTGGGGCCCCCTCCATAACTTTTTGCATAAAAGGATTATGTTCCAAATTATTTATTTTAATTTCCTACATTACTTTAAAAGTATCAAGAAAAAAGTGTTTGATTGTAATAAATAATGATGGAACCGAAAATAATCTTTTGTATTATGTAATACATATATGATGGGGCCGGTACTATTTTGACACAAAAATTTGTGTCAAGTTTGTTATATTATATAACTGCCCTCACAGAACCAGGATATTCAGGATATCCCAGGGACGTCCTGGGGATATACAAATTGCCGCAAACAAATCGATATCTCCAGAACGTATCTGGGATATCCTGAATATCCCGGCGCTGTGAGGGTGGTGATATTGTTATTTTGTTTGTTGTATAACTCGTAAAATGAAAATTGTCATTTTGTACGACAAATATAAATCAACAAAAAAGCTATAAAAAAGGATTTTCAATATAAAATATTCTGAAATAAGGTTCTACATGCTTCAAATTATTTATTTACATCCACAACCACCACATTAGGCTTTTTGTACCAGACAAAAAATTTATTAAATAGAGTGATGATTAACCCTTTCAGTCCCGCAGTGGTCGATATATCGACCACCTTTTATGCCACCGATTTTTTTAACATAACTTAAAGGAAAACTTTAAATAATTACATATTTCTTATTTTTATGTTTCTACAAATAGGATTAAGTAGTTTTTAAACAAATTAATCTATATTATTTATGTTTTTTGTTATTAACAAACTTAAACACGGCAACGCATTATTTCACGTTAAACTTGACTGTAATAAAATTAAATCAGTAACACATACTTTAAATTATGGTTATTTTCTAAATTCTTGGGGTTTGCTGAATATTAATCTAAAATCAGATATGCAAATTCAAAATGGTGGATCCAATATGGCGGACAGAAATTAAAAATTAAACAAATTTGCTTGAAAATGGTCTCTCGGGGGTTTTTGGGGTCGCTGATTACAAATCTAAAGTCAATTTTTAAAAATTCAAAATGGCGGATTCAATATGGCGGACAAGTTTTTAAAAATCGATGAAATTCGTCTCAAATTCGTTACTCGGGGGTTTTCAGGGTTGCTGATAACGAATCCGATGTCGGATTTCAAAAATTGAAAATGTTGGATTCATAATGGTGAACGAGCTTTTTAAAAATCCATCGAATTCGCACCTATTGAATCCGCCATTTTGAATTTTTGAAATCTGACATCGGATTCGTAATCAGCGACCCCGAAAACCCCCGAGTAACAAATTTGAGACGAATTTCATCGATTTTTAAAAACTTGTCCGCCATATTGGATCCGCCATTTTGAAATTTGCAAAACTAACTTTGCATTCGAAATCTACGACTTCAGAAACCCTTGATTAGTGATTTTAGTAACTTTAGCGCTTAACTAAATTTTATTACTTCAATTTTTGCTGCAAATGTTTAAGGGAAACTAAAGATGAAGAATGTAGTTTCGTTCACTAAATTTAGTGTAGAATTGTCATTTTTAATCCAATCGAGGTCCACAAGGGCTTAAAATTTGTGTAATGATATAGTCTATCAATAAAAAAATTAAAACCTAAACATTTTTTCCTGTTTTATGTAGAAAAAAATAGTAGAAGTTACTCAAATGTCTAAAAATCATCAAAATTGTCATGAAATTTCATCTTTAATCGACTGTAACTCTCTCAATTTTTGTTCAATTTTATTCTGTAACCTATGGATCGAAAGGTAATTTAATAACCTTTCTAATGATACCTCATTTATTATATTTTGACAAGCTAATTTTCCTACAGGTAAGTTTAAGTGGCGTCGCACCTCGAAAATGCAAAATTTGAAGCTACAGAAAAACTGCACGAGGGGAAAAAATTAAAACTATGATTTTCTTACTCAAAAAACACCTACCATTCGAAAAAAAAATGTTTTGTTCGATTGACAAAAAAAGTTTTTAATTTGTAAGCCTGTGTTATTATTTCTACGAGGAAACAAAGTATTCATGAAATGAACACCAAAATTATAAAAATGTACAACTTGGCAGCGGTTTTATTTATAAAAAATAGAAAATTGGTAAAAAATTATGATTAAGAAATAGGAAATAAATACCCATTTTATGTATAATTTTTATATCAATAAAAATATTGTTCACAAACTAATTCTTTTATTTTGGGAAAAAAACATTAGGGGAGGGTAGGCTACATTGAACCGGGTATTTTATAAAGTCCAAGAACTAATAAAATTTTACTAATTTCGATCAGGTTTTTGTATCAAAATTAAGCTGAAGTACTCCTTTAGTTAATACACACGTTACAAACACAAATTATTATGATTAAATAATTAAATTTAATTTTTTTCTAACAAGTCACACTTTTCTTATTTTGAAGGATGTGTGTCTACATTGAACCACCTCTAATAAAACACTACAATTTACTTCAAAAATAATATTTCCACTTACACATTGTAAAAAATCTTATTTTCCACTCAAAAAAATAGAAAATTGTTATTTAATTGTTATTACTTGTTAATATAGGAGATTAATGTATTTTAATGTCAGGTTAGGTAGGTAAAGTGACAGTTTGAGTTTATCTCGTTCACAATTGTGATGAAAGCATGTCTTCCAGTATTTTTCTTACTAATTAGTAGAGCAGACAATTTTACAACTCTTAAAATTGAAAATTCTTTGCTTTTTCGGGTGGTTCAATGATGCCGCACTTACTGTATTCACATGACATTCACAACAAAAATTGTTTATAATAAATTTGTGTAAGATTTAAAGTTCTTTATCACATCGGAATATTGAAGTTGACACCCTAAGCGAAATAAATCGCAAGTTTACTAATTTTTAAAACTTCCTATTTCAATAAAAAAACGTCATTATAATTCCACCAAATTTTTTGTTTTGTACGTGAAAAACAGTTTTTTTAGTTTTTCTTTGTAAATAATAAACCTACGTGCCCGAAATTTTTGGACATAGTTTGTTTCAGTAAAACTAACTTATATATTAATTTAAATAAGAAAAAATTTCACTCAGTCATTTCTCAGAAAATTGAAGTGGTTCACTGTTGACGCTGGTTCAATGTAGCCTACTCTCCCCTACATATTCTCGTATCTTAATATTTTTTTAGAAAATTTTAAATTTTCATAAAGAAATTATTTACATAATTTCTATTTCTTAATTACAATTGTAAAATTGAAAATTTTTAATTTTTAGAAAATAAAGAAAAAAATTTTAGTCAAAAAAATGTTCTTTTACATTTTTCAAGGAATTCGATTTAAATTGTAGGTATTAAAAATATTTGAAATTCAGCGATGAGTTTTATTCAGATTTATGAAAATAATTGAATTATTGAGAAATTTGTATTATTTATGAAAATAATTAAATGTTTGCGTACAATTTTATTAACATTTTTTTAAACAATTGATTTCTTTTGAGTAATTTTATTAAAGTATGTAGTAGATATTGAAAATCATTGAAATGAGGAAAATTTTTGTATATAATTGAAATTTTGACAAGAATTTTATTAAAATTTTTGAAAATAATTGAATTTTTGCAATCATTTGTAACTTCTTCAAAATTCAATTTTTTTTAGTGTTTTTAACTAAAATTTTTTTATAAATCCATTATTTTTAATAATAATTAATTAAATATATATATTGACAAATTTAACTAATTTTAGTAGATTTTGAATGGAGCTGTGCCAAATAATTCGAACCAAACTGTTCGAATGTCAAATATTCTAATTTTGAATTATTAATAAAGTTTTTCAAAAATTTAAAGTACACACTTCAAAAACTTATGTTCGATACACACAAGGGCGATGTGTTCCCTGTAATACTTTAAAACCTTAAACACGGAGAAAATTTTATCTGTAGCCATTACAGTACTGTCACGGTACTGCTCGGACGAAATGCCACGAACAATAATGGTTAAATAAAATTACCTATTAATAAAGACGGAATAAAAATGGAAAAAATTATGATCGTACCCTTATTCAATACAGATCTGTTTTGTAAAATAAGAAACCGGTGACACCTGCGCAGAAAAGGCCCAGGCGTGCCCCGTTCACAAACAGTTCTGTAATCATAACGGATCAGAACTGTAATTCTGATTTCATAAAGTAAAAAATAAAAATTATTTTCTTCGCATTTACTCACACATTTGTACCATTTTGGCATACAACCACGTTCAAATTTTGTTCACATTCTCACTTCACACATACATTTTAATTTCGCTCGCTTATATACATATATTCCTAACATTAACCTAAACTAACGCAGTACAAACATAAACGCACTATACTATTACATTCGCTATATTAAGTATATTTCGAACTGCTCTTATATACTAACTTCTCAAATTCTTTTGCTCTTGCGAGAAACGTAATACATAATAAGAAGTTTATCAATTTGATAAAACTTTAACTTTAAAAATTAATTAAAGCTTTTAAAAAATCAATTATGATCAGAGTCAATTTTATATATGACAAGAAAGTAGTAATTTACTAATATTCTTAAAATTAGTTACTTTATTCCATAATAATAAATTTGAATTTACACAAATTTTTTAATTATATTTAATAAAACTATTAATTACACTGGTTTACAGTGAAATTGCCAATTGAACAAAACATTTTTTTTTCGAATAGTAGGT